CTGGAGCCTTAGGCCTGACCTTAAATACACAAGCCCTCCTCCAGGTCCTGTTGACCCTAAATAAGAGGCTTAAATAAAAATCAAACAACCAAACAATACACACCTGTCAACCAATACAAGAGAGCCCACCTTTCCAAAACAAGAGAGCCCACATTTTAGAATCAAACTATAATAGTAGGAGACTTCAATACACCACTCTCAAGAAAACACAGAACTACCAGAAAGAAACTCAACAAAGATGCTTAAGAATTAAACCACACAATAAACCACCTTGCTCTCATAAATATATACAGGCTAATGCACACAAAAAAGCACAGTATACCTTCTTCTTCAATGTACATGGAATGTTCTCCAGAATAGATCGCATTTTAGATCACAAGACAAGCATCAATAATCAAAAAACCATAGAAACAATAATTTAAAAAAATCTTCTCAGACCCCAATGCTACAAAATTAGAAATTAATAATAAGAAGATAAAGGGGGAAAAAATCATACATTTAGAAGCTGAACAACACCTTGCTTGAACGTGAGTGGGGTTTTTTTTCATCAAAAAGTTTCTCCTAAAAGTACAGGGAAGAAGTAAGAAGAGCGCAATTACAATGTTATTGTAATGTTATAAAACAAAATGTGTATGAATTGTTGGATGGGGGGGTGGAAATCAAGGTTCTTTGCATATGTTCATTTAAATGACAATTCTAAAAAATCCTTAACTAAAAAAATAGCATGAGAGAAAGTACCATGAGATGCAATAAATTCTATGGCAATGAAAAAATAAAGTATTGGGCTATTTAAAAAAAAGTTTCTCAAATGACAATGAAACACAACAAAACCTCTGGAAAACAGGCAAAGCAGTAATAGGAAGTCACTTTATAGCAATAAGCAAACACATCAAAAGGCAGGAAAAAATGCTAATTGACTCTCTAACCCAACATCTCCAACAAATCGAAAAAGAACAGCAAGAAGGGAGCTCTGGTGGCCTAGTGGCAAGACGCTGCACTGCAATCCCAGAAGTACACGGTTCAAATCCACCAGATGCTCTGCTGGAGAAGGAGGGGGCAATCTCCTCCTGTACCAGTCAGATCTGATTTGACGGTACACATAAAAATAATA